GTATTACTATTCCTGACCGCCATTTATCGGACCTTTCCTTATGTATTCTACACTTTAGACCAGATACATAAATTATCTGTTAATGTAATCATTTTCTTGTAATCTGTTAAAAATATATTTGTCACTGCTTGAATAATGTTTTCTTCGTTTATATAAAATTATATTGCTATGATTATTTTGCTTTATTGTCACTGAATTATAATTACAAACATGTATATCATATAGCATATTGACCCCTAAAATGGCTGCCAGGTTTATCAATGGAGGTAACTATTATATTAAAAAAATCTAGAAAAGAAAAACAGTAACATGTCTTGTAAGCCTCAATAACCTTAATCTAATCACAAAGACGTTAGTAGGAAACGTAATTTCTCAGACATCATACTATTATTAACACTGCTGTAAGAAACTGGACGAGATGAAAGGGAAGAACGATGGAAAGAAGAAAAAGAAAGATAAAAAATGAAGACAGGAACTTAAAGAAGGAAAAAAATGAAGGAAGTTAAGACAAAACAATGAAGAAAGGAAGAGAAAGACTGTAGATAGCAAGGAGTGCAGGAAAGTAGGCAAAAATATTTAAATAATTTTAAATAGTTCACTTTTATTAACCTCAACATAAAACCGGTAAGAGCAAAATAAATTCGCAAATGACTATTAATAAAAATAAATGTGCTCTAACAAACAAAAAGAAAGAAAAAAAGAAAAAAAAGGAAACACTTTTCTGCAAGGGCGTTGAAGACAGGTGACATACTTTTTAATCCCGCAGTTAACACCTTTTCTGAATCATTTCATCTATATATCGACCGTAATTGATAATAAAATAGTGAATGTTTCAATGGTCCCCACTTTTGCTCTATGTTAAATATAAATAGAGATGAATTAAATAGTATGCAATGAGACAAATAAGGACAAAACGTTCATTCGTGTAAACAAAGCTGTGCAAAGAAAATCGATCACTTTTTTAAAAATTTAATAACCTTAATGAAGTGTAAAAACATATCTTGTACGATATAGGGTATGACATGAATAACTTGAAAAATCAATTAACAATACAACGGTTGATAGAATTGCCGGAAATTCAATAAACGCAAACAATTGATGTTGAAATTATTATATTTGTTAGTCATTGTAAGTCAGACGTAATACTGCAATTTCAAAAGAGTTAACTGTGTATTACATTTAGACTTAGACGAGTCATTAGATAACTTCTACGTGCATTGGTGTCAATCATTATTAGAATCATCATCGTTCCAGACGGCTCAATTTAATTCTCATTTCAAGTGTGGTTTTCATGCAATAGACATTCCACCAGAAAACGAGTAAAGCATTTTTCCTTGAAAGTTGCTTTGCTTTAGTAACTCTTTCATTTCGTAGCTTTGGAACAAGTGGTATAGAACCATCCAGTATAAACATAGATGTTTCAACAACCAAGAATCGATGAACAAATAATTTACACAAACTGACAAATGGAAACATCGAACGAAACAGTGAAATTAAAACTGAAAAGGGGGTAGAATTTTGCAGAGTCTTTTATATTTTGTCTTTTGATGAGTAAACTTCTCTTATGTATCCCTTAGCACCTGTTTAAACAGTATTTGATCATCAACGAGTAAAGTATATATTCAGCTCTTTGGAATACTAAATACATTTTACTTTTCTTATATAACATAGCCAATCTAGTGTCATTCTTCTAGATCTAATTTACTCCGACTTTTTTACAACAATATATTCCATGCTAATCATTTTAAGTTTTTTCAGAACATTTTGCCTCAGAAATGAAAAAAACAATGTTTGTCTTTTCCTGTTGTCTTTCTTAAAGAAAGGGAAAATATATGTTTTATAATATAATGTGTAACGTGGATTAAACACATGTTGATGTAAGCATAATCTTACATGTTGTGTATCTTGAATTCCAAACGAAATACTTACTGTATAACTAAAACTTTTCAAATAACATAATGATTAGAAGTATAGGCCAATGAGTTATTTTTCGAAACTGTAACAACACATAAAACTGTTACAACACATAGAAACTAAAATAACAATGAGAGCATCCCTAGACTTAAAGGGCCGTTGATAAAATCGATGTATAATGAAAATTATTACTGCTTGAATAGGATAAAACAAATGGAAACTAATTAATTGTTCAATATGGAAATAGTTCTTTTAATCTGAGCCTCAATGATTTTGCTAGGTTTATGTAGTGTTTACAATATAAATAATAATAATAATAATAATAATACTTATAATAGTAATAATATAAATAATAATAATAATAATAATAATAATAATAATAATAATAATTATAATAATAATAATGATAATGATAATAATAATAACAAAAACATTAATGATAATTATACATGTAGCAATAATAATAATAATTATAACAATTTTATTGTTTTCTCTGCACCTGCATGTCAAATGCAATGTAGTGCTTGATTTGTAAATACAGAACATTGACAGCACATTTTTAATTATCAGTTGATGTCTACCTTACGTAATTATCTCAGTTGATTTTTTTTACTTTTTGCAGGTTATTTGTCTGTGTTTTGTTATCTTATAAAGTGCCATTAACAACAAATCAGTGCTCTGGAGATGAAAAGGAAATAGTATATTAGCTTTAACGGTCATTTTAATATCAATTTGATATCATTTTATGCTGATTGCTTTTGGTTCATAAAACATAATCGGTCTACTGTGTTCAAATAAACAACTTTGAATACGTCTACAGTTTTGCTTATATTCAATCCAATTCAATTCAATATCTCACCTTTTCTCTCCTATATTGTCTAGATATTTGGCTGGGAGGTAGATATGAAAATATCTATTGTAATGTGAAATTTTGAATCTGAACTTATTGTTCAAAATACCTTACATATTGTGTTGGCTTTTTGGAAAAGTATAAATATGTACGAATTTTAAAATTTGCTATTTCAAAAAATGTAAGTACGGAAAATTTTATGTAAAACCAAAGCAAAAATAAATATATGTTTAATGAAAAACACAGAACATTGAATCATTTGGTGCAGCGCAATAATCATTTTTCAAAACTGAATTTGTTCTAATTGACAGTCAGGATTTATTTCAGATGTGTAGAAAGGATAAACAATTAGTTCGATTTTATTCCAAGGTCACCAATAAGATGGTTTATGACATTTCTCCCTATTTATCTGCTTTATACAATTTAGTAGTTCATGTATACAATTAAAAAGTAGTGAGAGTCAAACTGTTAAAACAACATTTGAATTGACAGATACACTTTCCTGTCCTTATTTTACAGACAAAGATAGAATGCAAATTATTACTGTAAGTTATATATATTTTGAATAAGTCATAGCATACCTTTGAATGATTTTTAGAAAGCCAATATGTATTGCGATTGATGAAAGTTACAGATAAGACCATTTGATACCAGGTGAGTTAATACATATGACGTGCAAAGGCCTGATATTAAATTGATAAAATACAAATTCGTTTAGTATTTTTTAACACACGTGAAAAATGTTTATAACAGCTAATGCACTATTTTATAAGTAAATTATTACATATAGTATACAGTTGTTTTCGTTAGAATGATGTTATAGCAATATTTGTCTTTCAACAAGACATATAATTCTTTTATTACATAAAAGTTGTTGTGCCGCATACTATATTCAAAACAAAAAATCATTAAAACATTATCGTTTTGTTCTACAACGTAAGCAGTTATCAGTTTTCAAAAAAATCATTTTGTTCTTACTAGACAGTCTAGTTTAAGCATCATATCAAGTATGTAGTAAGGATAAATAATTACTGCGATTTTATCTCAAGGTCAGCAATAAGACTGTTTATAATGATTTATATCCCTGAATATCCAAGTAAAATGTAATACAATCAATATTTATAAAGGAAAATGTGAGTGGTAATAAAAGTTATAGAACAATATTTGTATTGACAAAGGGCTAGGTTCACTTTGGGTGAAAAAATGCCCTGTTTCAGAAATTCATCAACATTTCAGCAAAGATTAATATTTATGTGTTGAAAAAGAAACAAGAACAACTTAGGCATTTTTTCTATTTATTAGGTTACCATAGCAACCAAGTTAAATGCACCATTTTTTTATATTTCTAACAAGTTAATTCCTTATAACATTGGCAAATAGCTAGATAACAGTCTCAAACACACAAACTTAACATCTCTCTAGATATAAAACAGATAATGTCAACATTTAAAAAAATGAACATTAAAAAAATTAATTTTCTACATAAATTTAATTTAAAATTCCATGGCAACGTCACCAATTTTCACATATTGTGATTCTGCAACTAGAGTCACAGAATTTTACAAATACTTGCAATCTATATTTCTTTTATATGTAAGCCTCTACTACAGTGATAGTTCCAAGATTAAGAATGTGAATGTATTGTTTTCAGTGTTGCCATGGAAACATAAACTAGTTTCATTTCAAACAAAAAAAAGCTGTATGAAGAGACAGTTTGCATGTGTTACATTTTTAACATTTTGGGTGTTTATGAATTACGGTATACATTTAAATTTCAGAAGGTTTTTACTTTTATAGGGCATGGAAATTTTCTTGTTTGTATAGCAACACTGTTTGATTGGCTTTGGTGAGATGCATGTTTGAAGCAATTGAAAGATAAAGGGTACATAATGTTCTAAGAATTAGACAATAAAAGTAACTCAGTTAATATATAAATAAACCAGTAGCATTAATGAGCATTGATTAAGTATATTGGACAGATAAACATGATACATTGTAATTACAGTAAATAGTTTAAATGCTTCCAATGACAATTTAAATGATTTGAGCCGTGTCATGACAAAACCAACAAAGTGCGTTTGCGACCAGCATGGATCCAGACCAGCCTGCGCGCCGGCACAGTCTGATCAGGATCCATGCTGTTCGCTATCAGTTTCTCTATTTGTAATAGGGTTGGTAAGCGAAAAGCATGGAACCTGATCAGACTGCGCGGATCTGGATCCATGCTGGTCGCAAACCCATTATGTTCGTTTTGTCGTGAAACGGCTCATTTATACAGTACCGATAAATTAATATCCTGCACTTTTATACAGATGTACAAGTTAAGATTAACATCACTGAAGCAATATAACATTATATATAATTACTTATATGTACATCAAAACATACAATTAGAATTTACAGTATATATTAATTTACATTTATTTATCTATAAATATATTAGTCCGCATTACTGTATTTAAACCTGTCAGATCTGGCACAACTGGGTGACATATTGAAAGGAATTAATGCTGACTTCATATACACTTATTTACTTAATGGTTAAAGTTTTAGTTCAATATTTACATATTCTAAGAGAGTATGACACGCTGATTGAAACAGGATAATATTAGTTACAAGAATGTCTGACAGGCTATGTACATAGTTCAATATAAACAGTCATTAGATTATATAACATGAGCCGCTAGGGGTGGGTTATATTGCAAACAATCAATCATGCATGGCCATATAACCTGTTAGACATATTTATAAAATATATAACCAAGCAGAATCACTTTATTGAAAAAACTTTTGTTTGTACAGAATTTGAAAATAGAACAATTGCATTTGGATATAACAATATATCAACCACTATATGAGAGGAAGCTATTCCTCAACTATACTTTTCTTCTGAATCTGAAGAGTCTATTGATTCTGGATTAGCTGAAGCATCCTCCAAATACTCACCCCAGTCTTTCACACCAAAGCTTGTTTCAGCTGTATGGACAGCCATGCCCAGGTACCATATGACTGCAGCAACATGAGAGCAAGTACCAACTGTCCTAGCCCCAGCCCTACATTTGCAATACCATGCAATTACATGGTCTTCATCATATTTTAACCACACAAGATATGATTTTGATGCTATATGGCGGCTCTGAAGTCTAACTCTTAGAAGGCCCGGAATTTCCTTGTGCAAGTGAAAGTCACAAGTACCACTAATATACTCCTGTACATAGCTTGAGCTCAGTTTTAACTGGTAAGTACCAAGAGTTAAAATTCTCAATAAAGTTTCTGACAGTTTTGGAAAATCTGTCAATGATTCAGTAGTTGTCCAATGGGCTACACTTCTCCTAGCAAGATCATGTTCTTCCACAAAATCTTGAAGACAAAGATTGCCTGACAATCTATCCCGCATCTGGCTTGCTAAAGTTGAGTCAAGTTCTTGGGTTTGGTTGATAGGTGGCAGGTACTTATTACATAAGGCACAAATTATGCTTACATAATCACCTATGTATGGCACTTGGTTTGTTGGAAGAACATGTGAAAGATACTTCCACCTTTTGATCCTTGCATTTGCAGCCTCTACCACCCATCTCACCTGAAGCACAATTAAATATAATTGCAAAACATGTGTAATAATACAGTTAGAATATCCAATTTAAGATGTATAGTACATTTGTACAAGTTAAAGGATTGAATAAAAAGTTGAATTCTATAACCAAGAAATATTTTTCATTATTTACATTATACTTGTTACATAATGAAATATTAAATAACTCTAGCCATGTTATATTACTTCTCAATTATGTCCCCTTCACCAGAATGTGACCTACTGTTACAATTTCAAAGAATTTGAGGGTCACCTGAGGTCAGTATTCTATAATCAGTAGTCTGAGAAGTGTTTCTGGTTTGTTTTTCTTTTGATTTTAATTAATAAACTAATTAATCTTAGGAAAAATAATTGAAGATTAAAGTTTTTTTATGTTCTTATTATAATTAACTTAATTAATCAGGCAATATTTTCTGTGATTAAATAAAAGAAAGAATAATTACTATGAACATTTGTATGCTAATCTTGCAGTAAACTATCTACATTATATTGAATAAAAATACAGTATTACAGTACATCATATTTAATGAGAGATAAGGTATCAAGAAGAAATATGATAATCTACAGAACAGTCTGGTCAACAATAGATGTTAAATGCATTTTAATTAAATTGGTTTTATTTAAAATAATAATATTTTATAATCCTAAATGTTAATTATGAAATGACCAGCTGAAAATGTTCAATATTATTAAAATACATCCAATAATGTATGTATTAAGTGAATGATATGCTGTTAAAATGAAAAGTTGATAAAGTATACATGAAAATATATGAACTTATATTAAGTTGATAATATTATGCAATGTAATTTATCTTCTTTTACTTTAGAAATGTTCAATATTTCATATATAAGAATTGAACATAAAATAATTTTCAATTAAAAGCTGTGCATTTAAAATCTGAAATTGATAATGATAATTTACTATATATGTAGTTGATTATTTAAATTATTACCTTTGTTACAAACCTACTGGCATTTGCATCATCTGTTGTCATCTGTTTTTTCTGTTCTTTTCTCATAAAAGGCAGGCATTTCTGCTTGTATCCCTAGTTCCTTCATTAATTCAATAGCATCCCTAAAACCACGGTCTACTACAAAAATGTCACTGGGGTCAATCCATGATTTGATTTCTTGTATGTTGTTGTTTAAAATATGTTTTAGAATGGATGCATCATTGTTTTTTTGAGTCAGCAAAATATGGCCCTAAAACACTCACAAAATAACCAGTGGTAGAGACAATTATCATGGGTTTAACTAATGGTCTGTGCTTGTGCATACTAAAGCTTTTCTCCTTTGGAATTGAAAGTTGTTGCTTTTGTTAATGTAAATATATGTTCCATCAAGAACTAGAATTGCCTGGTCATTGCTTTCAGCTAGAAGGTCTTGTGCTAATTTTCTGGTGTGTTTTTGAATGATTTCTTCTCTAGTAACATGTTCAAATCCAAGATGGGCTGGAACAATGATATCACAAAGAGCTTGTCTAGCTGAGTGAATTGCTCTTCTTATACTTGATTTTGTTATATTGAATATTGTTGATAATATTTTGTTTGAAAGTCCACATTTCATTTTAAAGAGGAAAAATACCAAGTGTTGTTATGGAGGTTCTTGCTGGAGTGTTTTTTATTGAAGATTCAACATGTTTGGTATAAATCAAGAAATTGTTCTTTGTTTAGGCCTGTTAAGTTGATTAAATCTTCATCTGTATAGGTATGCATACTGTCAAATGACATTCTCTTGTTTGAAGATTTTAAGGGCAATTTCTCTTGTTTTATTGATGAATTCAGTAATAGTAGTTCTGTTCAAAATGATTGTTCTTTTTTTTTTCATGTTCACTAGTTCTTCTTTATTAAATTCGTTTTAAGTTGTGATTGAAATGAGAAGTACAACATCTGCTTTCAGCTGTGATAATAATTCCATGTTCAATGAATACTGAATATCTTATATTTGCTGGTACAACTATGATTTTGGGACCTGGCTTTTTACAAATAAAACAGTAGGAATGGCTTTTGGATGTAGATTTAATGGGAAGCTGAATGGACGGTGGACTTTTACAGGCTGTAGATGTTGTTGCTGTTGCTATCTGATTTTCAGTAGATTTTCTTGATGTGTCTGAAACAGATGACTTTGGCTGTGCACTAGAAACTGGATACACTTTTTTGCTGCAACCTCCACAAATAAAATCCAAATTGGTTGTTTGCATCAAATAGAATTTCCGTAAATATTTAGCTATATTTTTGTTGACAGGTCTTCTTTGATGCAGTTTTAGCTTTTTTCTGCACAGCACACATATCTTTTGAGGCATCCTAGAAAAAAAGATGAATCATAAAAATATGCCTTATATTTTATTAAATTATTAAAGTTAATTATCACTGCAGAGTATCTTAAATTAATCCTATATCATTTTGTGTTTTCCAGTCTTAAACTGAACAAACTTTTTGCAACCATACCAGTATTTGTGATAAGTCTATCTTTTAACAATCATTTTTTTTATATTTATCACATTATTTTTAATATTATAAAAAAAAACTTTTAAAATTCAAAGCAAAATAAAACACATGAGTAAGACATTATCTAAAGAAAGTTGTTGAAAAAAAAAGAAAAAAAAAAGGGTAGCTACCTGGTTTTGAACTCCGGCCTATCGGGTGACAGCCACCGATTACATCCACTAGGCTATAGAGTACCTTGTCTTTTACATCTGCAAAACAAATATTAATACACTTAAAAAAACATTTTCACTCTGTTGCTCCTTTTAAAACGACACTTTAAGGCTCTTTTCTGTAAAACTTTCAAAAATTTCAATTCATTACCAAATATTTTAATTTCACTATTGATTTATCACTATTCTTCTATAATTTTAAAAGTTGACATGTTGACGTCTGCGTCCGTAACAACACAAAATGACAGGTCGAAATAAACATTTTGATTCGATACAGAAATTGAATTTAAAAGTATTATCGTCACAAAATATAATTATACAAAAGTTTTTACCTTTCGTTTCCAGTTTTTGCACCTACATCGCTGAAAAGCGTTGGAAAACGATCAGAGAGAAAAACAATAGCAGTCTACTTTCAGTTTCAGATTCAATGTCGAGTTAATTCCCTTGAATACAGTAGTGGTCAATTCTCGAACCAAAAGTTGGCGTTCGTACGCATTTTTCTGTTTCTTACGAGAAGCGGGTTAAACATAAATGTAATGTGCTATATTGTCTTTAGTATTTATTTATTAGCAAGACATAAACAAATGTTTTCCACAAACGGATAACATTTTTTTCTGATCAACCACGTATTCGGGCAGGACAAGTTCGGATAATGATTAGAAATAAAAACACGTAAAATATGTTATAAATCAGTTGCTGTCTAAGTTTATATAATTTTATTAAAGGTCTACATGAGTAATTAGTTTAGATAAGATTTTTTAAAGCAAACATATTGTTTTCATGCCAAATATCATGGGAATTATCAGCTAAGACCGAATTTCCATAGCAACAGCAAATGTCGGAAAACATTATTTTTAGATATGAAGAGCCAAACCCGACACCACCATATTTCGGCCACAGCTTTAGTATATATTTAGTATCATTACCTGAAAAGGACTTTGTGTCGCTTGTGGCTCTTCATATGTTATTTTAAGAAAATACGACAGCGAACGTTCTGAATTTCGCTATTTTGACAATTATGCATGGTTAATAAGTTGTGTTTTCTAGACATTAAAATACGATTTACTGTAATATTTTGTGATTTTTTGTTAGAATATAGGCCATTTCTTTTAAAATATGTAGGATGTCGTTTATATTTCATGGTTTTGCATTTGTAAAATTACTGGGCTAAAAAGCCCTGTTTGTGAACCTTGTCCTTTATTTTGCAGACAGGGATAATCAAGATATATATACTTACTGTAACAGTTTCAGTATTTAGTGTAAGTCGGTTACAATAAAGGACGTTGCATATAGATGTAGACAATTCAAAGAGTCGTAGTTATAACTTCAAAACATTTAAACCCACTATTGTGTGGACTCCAAAATATATTAAATAGAGAAACACAAAACCAGTAAGTAACGCCCAAAACGACAAACTTGTAAATGTTGCAGGCTAGGTTTGATTGAGAGTGTTTATGAACGGTACTGGAAAGTGCAGTCATTAATTTTCAGTATTAAAGCGCCAGGCAAGCCCATATAATTATGTGGCTGTAAACCTGGTTTATTATGTCATGTATCAAGCACAATTTCAGCTTAAAAATCTTGTGTCGTTCATATCTATTGATAAACGATACTGATTATTTGATGCTAAATATGTATTAGGATATTTTATCACTTTGCACGACAGTACGATTTTCTAACAGCTTCAGATGACATTAATTTCACTTGCGATTGGCTTTGTTTCGTTTATTCATGACATATATTAATATAATAATATATGCGTTGTATTGAATAAACTAACTTGTTTATAATTATATCTCGAAGTTGTGATATTAACTCAAGCGTTTACTCAAAATTTTTCTTAAAATGATATAATATATGAGTTCAGTGTGTCACAGTTAAGTGTGTCAAATACATTCAGACAACATGAGAAAGTAATCAGTTCGTGACTTGCACTTATTCATTCTCAAAGTGTTCCTATTTCTGACAGCTCAATTTAAGGAGTATTTGAGTTATACTGTAATTGAATGTTTTATATTCGATCTTATACAAAGATCATAAGTTAATCCCTTTGTCTGTGATACTGTGATTATCGATGTATTTGATGGAAAGACAAGTGTTAAAGCTAAAGAAAAGAAAATATGTGTTTAAACAAACTTCAATTATTGTCTTTATTATATAATCTATAAATAGCTTTGAAATGCCTTTCCCTGATTGGCTAACAAGCAACTTTTTGTAAAAAATAACAGGTCAATATCAGAGTATATTCACTGTTTTTTTTCCTAAAAATAGATTTTCAGATTATATTCACCGGTTTTTCTTCTAAAAATAGATTTTCTGGAAATCCCTAAAAGACGCGAGACTTTGACCTGATGTCACGACAAGTTTGTTGTTATTGTTCTGGAAAAAAACGTTGAGTGGGGTGTACATAAGAGTCAAATTAGTCTATTTTAGTTATCATTTTACATTTTTAAGAACAATAGGGATAAGCATGCAAATGGAAATGACCAAATTATGGAAACAGTAGACAAGCTGAAAAATAATGATTTCCGTCGTATGCAATGGCAGATGTGATAAGCCATATAAAAGCTATTTATAAATTATATAATAAAACAGATATGGACTTTTTAGCTGTTGAATATGATGTGATATGTACTGAAAAATTAATATTGACCTCGGCTATCACCTCGGTCAATATTAATTTTTTCAGTACATATCACATCATAGTCAACAGCTAAAAAGTCCATATTTGTATATTATTTCATAGACAATAGATGTAGTCAAAGATTTCTGTCATAATAACTAGTGGGATGTAATTCTTATGATACAAGTTTATATACATTTTGTACTTGTATTCAGTGTCAAATTCTGACATAAAGGCAACCGGACATTAGTTATGACCAGTTTTCTTAGAATTGGCGAGTTAAGGGTCTACACAAATAAGACGTATCTTTTTTAGGTAGTGGAATGGAAAACAAACTTTGTTTGATGTTGATTACGTCTAAATAATTTCAACCATTTGACATTCTCCATTATTCCTTTGAATTATTCCTTAAAAAATAAATAAACTAAAAGAGAAATATTTATACCTCCAAAAATAAAAACAACAAAAAAAAGAAAGAATGAAAGAAAAGGAAACAAACAGCCCGAATAAGATTGTGAAAATTTACAAAACAAAAGTCAGTAATCTCCGGCATATTTGACGGAACGTTTTGAAAAAAAACAGAGACTCGAGAAACTGCGCATGTGTATATTTATAATACATATATAAAAACATATAAATGATTTGTTTTGATACTTCTGAAAACAGATCACTGAGGTGTGAATATTCAGAATAATTGAGCTAAGATTTTGTTTGTAGAAAGCTTTGCGAAATTCAAACAATATATTAGGTTTTTCTTAGCGATAATTTACATAAAAATCTAATAAAACTGCCATGTTTCGTTGTTTATAAAAACTATCTCTTTAAAATTCCTGAAAACGTCTTTTTTTACAATACACAGAAAAGTTTTTCTTTTAGCACCTAGAAAAATTCAGGTTATGCAATATTTAACAAATTAACAATTCCAATTGAATTGAATTGAATTCTTACTTATAATTGGATATTGCCTGTTAATGACTTGCTTTCAATTAAACTATTTTGGTTATCTTTTAAACATATATTAAGTAGACCATTGAACACTTTTCATGCAGAAAAAGAATCTACAATCGAATAAATCAGTTATTAATTTTGAAGAAATATTTTTTCAAAAGCAATTAAGTCGAATGTTGCATATATAGAGGATATTGAATGAGTGTAGGTTTAATACTTAATTTATTGAACGAGTTGATTAAAATCATATTAAGCGAGCCTTATTTCTTCAACATTCCTTAATAATAATAATGATAATAATAATAATAATAATAATAATAATGATTATAATAATAATAATAATAATAATAATAATAATAATAATAATAATAATAATAATAATAATAATAATAATAATAATAATAAATAATAATAATAATAAAAACAATAAAAATAATAATAAATTAATAATAATACTAATAATTATAATAAATAATAATAATAATAATAATAATAATAATAAAACAAACAAACAATTTAAGCTTATTTTGTTTGGGAAGAAAGACCAAAAAATTTCTGTGGTTGTAGTTATATAGAACATATTTAAAATCATTTTTAAATTACAAAAATAGGATTGATAAAATGGATAAGACCTCATGTCACCGAGTTCTGTTTTAAACAGGTCGATTTTATGTTTTAGTTACATGTATTATTGTTTCGAAAGTGTTGAGAAGCAAGAATAACGTTTTAATTGTTTGAAATTATTTACATAAAACTTCCCATAAAGCTATTAAGTACTCGCTGTTTATAAACATACATTCTTTTAAAATTCCAGAAAACGACTTAATTTACCGTTCTCACGGTTATTAGTCATATAAAAAGAAAAAAAAACTTTTTCTATAAAATTACAATATGCAGCTCATTTTTATACCTCGCGATTATGTTTTATTTTAAAATATATATATCACATTAAATAACTTTCTTACAATTTAATTTTATTGTTCTCTTTCCAACAATAAACTCTTAAATCTATTTTCATGAATAATTTATGTCAAGAATTCTATTTACTTCCTGTGTAAAAAGAAAGGTTCATAATCAAATCAAACAGTACATATTGTAACAGTTGTTACGAAATAATTAGTGCCGTGAAAGTAATATAATAATTTTAACGAAATGAAATAGCTTCATCAAAAATTTAAAATTGCACTGTGTTATGTGATTCGAAAGTAGGTCGTTAAATACACTAAATGTAAGGTTAAGTCTTCAAAATCAACATACGAGTGTGTGCATTACAATTATACTGGTAGGATATTTGTTAATAAATCAATATCAATATATAACGTTTATGTTTAGTAAAGGTACAATTCAATTTGTATTTTGGTTGTAAATGGTCATTTGCATTTTTGAATATCGATTATAATCAATCATAATCTGATATGAACATAAATAAATGAAACTGTTTTTTGTATGTCGATATAAATATACACCTGCAATTTGTCATGTCATACAACTTTTACATACTCTCATATAAATTCATATTGAATAAAATGGTCAAAAGCCAGAAAAAATATATGTCGGTAGCATATAAAATTCTTCAAAGTGATTGAAGCAAAGAATAATGTTAAAACAGTTTTGACTGAATACTTCTAATATTGTCTTACATGAAATAAGAGTACAAAATTTAAGCATTTTGAAGACCAATTCAAGCAATTCCAAAATTTTCAATTTTGTAACAACATGCCATTTTTTCAGCTAAAGATTAAACTCAAATAAGATTTAAAAAGATAAATAAACTTAATAATTATATTCTAGTCAGAGGTTCTATGCTATATCTTTTATTAACATTTGTGGTATTTGCTACACTTTTACACAGTCTCGCTATAACAATAAAGTTTCCAAGCATACACGTTCTCAATAACTAAGAACAATAATAGTGTATTATTCATGTAAAACTATCTTATATGACACAAAATAAACACAATAATATCGGGTTTTATTGATTTTTCAATTTTATTTACAAAGTTAATAAAAAATAATTTCATTTAACTGCTTCAAACATAATTAAACGTTTATAAGACTGATATAGTCTTAGATTGTTTTACTTTTTTTCATCGGCTGTAAGTAAGCCAAAGAACAAAATGCGGCGTGTCTAATCTTACATAATTTGTCATACTTTTATACAGACAAACTATAATAATGAATAATATTTTCATGCACTTAAGTCATTAATTATCTTGTTTTCTAGACATCGTAATTTTAGTTTTGTTTAAATTACAGACAAATAATTTTTCCTACGATTTTATCCCTAGCTGTTTATTATTTATCGGTCTGATAAACTCCCTTAGACGCTTTGACGATCGATACATCTAATGGAAAAAATGAGTGTGAAACTAATCAAACACCATTTGTATTGACAAAAAATAAAATGCTGTTATCATTTAACAGATATATCTAGATAATGATACTGAATTTGTGAGTTGGTTACAGCAGAAGTAGGCTACGATATTGTGTAAAGATGTTGAGTGCATCAAAATTGAGCGTCATTTCTTCCTAACTGGTAGTCTTAAATAACTTAATCTCATATCTATGTAGTTTTGTGTAAGACCGAGTACTTTGTCATGGGTTAGTATATAT